GGCGCCCCGCCTCTGCCTCAGCTGCCGCGACCCTGCTCTCATTGCCCCACCCTCGAGCCCCGCCTTTGTCTGCGCCTCTGCTCCCCGCCCCCCACCGCGGCTGGACTCCCACCTGCTGTGCTGTCTGTCCTTTTTACCTGCCCTCACACACTCACGGGAAAGTGGAACCTGACTACCCAGCGCTCGACCGTGGCCTGGCCTGGTCACTCTGCCAGCGACGAGGTGGGTTCCGGAGCAGCCCGGAGAGTTGCTTCTAACCAGAGGAGGTAATTCTCGAAAAGCTGATGGGATCTCAACCCGGAGGCGCACGCTACGGCGCCTGAGCTCCAGTGGAGTCCAGGCTGCTCCGTCAGGCCAACCAACACCGCCCTTGTTCACTTTTCGCCGTGGCCAGGGCCCGACAGGCAGGTATGCAGATCAAAGGAAGAGTGCAAAGGACATCGGGGTTCTTCGATGTCCCTTCATCAGCGCGGCTGCACCCAAATCCAGGGCACCTGTTACTTCTGGCATGCTTCGAGGAGAGCTCTGTCCGTCACTGCAGACCTCCGGGCCTTCCAAGCGACCACCAGTCTTCCCAGCAGCCCAAAAGATCGCAGCCTCTCTCTTAGATCTGTGTTAGGGTTTAAATTCTAAGCAACCCGTTTGCGGAAGGCCATGAATGACAGTGAAACCCCGAAATTTATTTGCAGAGTTCCCACGTAGATTAAGCCTCCACTCAATTCCATCTGACCATTGACTTCGTTGGGTAATCTGCTGCACAAGGTCTCTTTAGAGTATTGAAAAGCAAGGATTTTAATTTGAGGACTAAGGTGCACCTGACCCAAGCCATGCCATTTTCAATTGCGGCATATGCATATGAAAGTTGAAAATTGAATGAGGAAGACCAAAGAATTGATGCATTTGAATTGTGGTGCTGGAGAAGACTATTGAGAGTACCATGGACTGCTCAAAAGACAAACCATTGTGTCTTGGAAGAAGTAAGGCCAGAGTGCTCTTTACAAGCAAGGATGGCAAGACTTGCTTTCACGTATTTTGGACATGTTGTGAGGACATCGCAGTCCCTGGAGAAGGACATCATGCTTGGTAAAGTGGAGGGGCAGTGAAAGAGAGGAAGACCCTCAAGGAGATGGATTGACACAGTGGCTGCAACAGTGGGCTTAAGCATAAGAACAATTATGAGGAGGGGGCAGGACCTAGCAGTTTGGTTCTATTATGCTTATAAGGGTCACTATCGGTGGGGACTGGCTCAGAGACACCTAACAGCAACCTTGATCAGGGATGTGAATGATCTTGCCCTCAGGTAGAGTGCATTAGTAAGTGGATTACCTCCACACCTTCTCCAGCCAGAACAGGGCAGGGCAGTCCCTCATGGGACTTGCCAGGGTGTGTCCTTAATGGAGATCACCATATTGGGGTTGCATAGTTATAAATAATGCCCTATCAATCATGTCCTGACAGCCTGGTGGGAAGGCCCTGGACCAATCTCGTAAGTTTTTCTAAGATGGCCCCATACCCATTTGTGTAGTCCCACCTTTAACCGTGATGCCACCAATAAATTCCGCCAGAAATCATGAGTTTATGAGCTTCCTTTGTTCCCCGTGCCTCATTTAAGTAGCTGCCTGGCTCGAAGTCCTTGGAAGCCATTTGACTTAATGCTAG